TATGAAGAGACTAATTCTTCACCTTTATACCCGAAAGGGTATAAAAAGCGACTACTCACTTTTAAAAAATAAAAACAAAAATTTGCGCCAGCTGAGATTCGAACCGGGTTGCTCAGTTTTGTTAGGCGAATACTCTCTCTGTGTGCCAACGCCGCACATGAAATTTCGGACATGCTCGAACAAAAGCGAACAGTTCATTCTATATAAAGAGATCAAGAATGGTATTAGTCGCATGTTCCTTTGCGATTGCTCCCGGTATCATCCTGGATTAGTCCCATTTTTTGCAGGGTAATTATATTTTTTCTCTTTTTACAACGCTTTTTTTCTATCTAGTTCCCTACCTCTACCCCTGTTCGTTCTAATAACATTTATCTCCAATTTTATCTTTATACTCTATCGATAACAAAATCGATAGTAACATCCAACAAAATATCGATAACAAAACCGATAAAAATATCGAGGACAAATTCGATAAAAATTTTGAAAGCAAAATCAATAATACTATTGGTAGCAAAATCGATTAGAAAATCGATAAATAATCGATAACAAAATCGATAAATAATTGATAACAAAATCGTTAAATAATAGATAATAATATCGATAACAAATTCCATAAAAATATCAATAACATAATCGATAAGTAATAGATCACAAAATTGATAAATAATCGATCACAAAATCGATAAATAATCGATAGCAAAACAGATAGATAATCGATAACAAAGTCGATAACAAAATCGATGATAAAATCGATAACAAATTCGATAACAATATCGATAAAAGAATCAATAAAAATGTCGATAACAAAATCGATAAATAATTGATAAAAGAATCGATAACAATATAGATAACCAAAGCAATAACTATCGATAGCAAAATCGTTTAAAATATCGATTATATGATCGATAACAAAATCGAATAAAATACCGATAACAAAATCGATAAAAATTACGATTATTATATCGACAAGTACCGAAGATATCGATAGCAAAATCGAGAACAATATCGATAAAAATATCAATAACAAAACCGACAAAAATCGATTATTATATCCATAAGTCCCGAGAAGCCCGAAAATCTCTGAAATCCCAAAATAGCTCCCAGATGGAGTCTCTGTGTCTATCTATATCCTTTTCTCTATAATTACTTTTATTTCAATCTTTCCTCCTCTATCTTCATCTTTACTTTTATCGGTATCCTCGTCCTCATCTTTTTCTTTATATATATCTTTGTTTTTCTCTTATGTTTGTCATTTTCTTCTTCTACATACCTTAATCTTAAATTTTGCCTTTATCTTTACGCATCTTTGTTTTTGTTTTCATGTTTACCTTTGTCTTTATCCTTTTCTTTATCTATGTACGTACTTATCTTACTTTCAGTCTTGTACTGGTCTTTTTCTAAGTCTTATTCTTTAACCTTTTATTAGCACGTTTTTTATACCATGGGAATACATTTAAGAAGCACTTGTTTCCATCCCANTCATTTTCTTCTTCTACATACCTTAATCTTAAATTTTGCCTTTATCTTTACGCATCTTTGTTTTTGTTTTCATGTTTACCTTTGTCTTTATCTATGTNCTTTTATTAGCACGTTTTTTATACCATGGGAATACATTTAAGAAGCACTTGTTTCCATCCCAACCATATCCGTTGCACCATTTCCGTGTGCAATTTCCGTTGAATTTGCCAATTTACTTCCAACCAACCAACCGCCGCTAAAGAAGTTACACTTCAAAAAAGAAAAATGCACTCCGCCAACACATGTTGAAAAGTATATAATTAGATACTTGTTTGAGTGGATGCTAATGAATTTTGGTTAAGTTACAAAACGCCTAACCATTATTTTACTTTTAAAAATTTTAAGACTTTACAATATTATGACACTTAACACGTCTTGTGAGTCCCCCATATGTCTTTGACCATATCGTTGTTTATTTGGCTAAAATTAAAATATATTTTACTGTTCAATATTGGAGTTGGTGTGAAACAAAATTTATGATTTATTCTTAGTATTGGAAATGAGAACTACAGTTATCAACTTATTGAGTTTCTCTCTTTCAAAAATAAAACAAATTTTGCTTGTTCAAATTTTGATTCTTAGAAGAAAATGTTTTTAACAAACAAAAAATTAATAATAAAATTTGAAGGATTTTAAATATTACGTATGGTAGCATGAAATGTTACAATCTGCTTCATAATCTGGTTGCTAATATGGTGACTAAAAACTGACAATGGACCTACCTTATTTTTTGTATCATGGGTGGGTTCATCATTTGACATTCGAAAAGTTACAGGGGAGTTCACGATTTGTAGGATTTGATGTGTAAAGTTGCTACGTAGCAATCTATTTTGTTGCTTTTCCAACAACAAACGCGTGCATGATTGCTACCATGGGCGTAGCCAGGTAGGGGCGGGGGGGTGCTCGAGCCGCCCCCCTAACTTTAAAATTTTTCTTATATATATATAAAATAGTACCCTGAAAAGCCAGCTTAATAGCACTTATGCTAAAATGTTACAAATCGTGAGCTCCCTTAATATTTGGTACTCTTATTTCTNGCAGTTCTATTGGAAAAAGCGCTAATACAAATATTTTTTAAAAGTACGAATATTTTTAAAGAAAATTGTTTGTACATCACTATCATACAAGTGATTTGTGTTATTTATTATTACCCTGAAGGCATTACTTTCGCTTTTGGTTTTAAAAACTATGTTATAACAAGATCTCATTTTTAAAATAAAAGATAAATCCGATTTCATGAAATTTATAAAAAAAATTGTTTTTTTTGGCGATTTTTTCAGAAATTTAAATTGCTGAGTGCCGTTAGTGTTAATATATCTAAATAAAATAAAAGAAAACAATTTTTAATAAAACGCAATCTGTAAATGAACAGAAAAAATTAAAAAATATAAAAAAATCGGATAATTAAAATTTTTTAATAAAAAACTTACTGTCGCAGATCTGTCCAAAATGGAACAGTTCAGAGAGGAAAAAATATCCAGTAATCTAGTTTTATAATTTTTCCTCATAAAAAACTTTTTGTCCCAGAACTGTCGAAAATGGAACCAGTTCAGAACTAGTCCGAAAGTTCTGCAGAGGTGGCAATTTCCACTTCGTAGGATATCACCAAGTAAAAAGAGGCAGTTGAAAGCATTGCGTTGGAATAGTTCGAGAACCGGTACCGCCTCTTAAAGAGCTAGTTCTGCGCTAGTTCTGAATTAGCGCGATTTACTGCGGGTTACATACAAACTCGTACTATGTAACTAGTATTTTTGTATGCACGCATGAAAGTAAAGAGGGCACTTTTAGGGTCAAGCCGTGTGAAAAACGTTTTGCAAATAAGCGGCACACCGCACTACAGAACTTTCGGGATCACTTTTGATCAATGCATTGTTTGCGCACTACACCAACAAAATACGCTTGTATGTATGTATGTATGTTCATATGTGCACATTTTTGGGCCGTAAATCGGAATTCCATTGTAATTGCTAATACAGCTTTTTCCCTATATATAACCAGTGACTCGTGTTAACCACAACAATAGTCAACTCTTGCAGTTGTAGCGCTCAAATTAAGTGTAAGAACTTAAAAATAAATCACAAAATGCCTTGTCCATGTGGAAGCGGTAAGTAACTTACACTCAAATGCATGCATATCAGTATTTCTATACAAAATAAATAATCCTTATACACACTTTCTTTCGAATTTCATTATTACAGCATAATTTATTTGTTGTTTTAATTGCCTAAACTTAAAATTTAATACATATTTGCTTTAATTTTATTTATGTATGTTTCTTTACTTTAGGTTGCAAATGTGCCACTCAGCCAAAAAGCGGTAGTTGTGGTTGCGGCTCAGCTTGTAGGTGCTGTCCTTGTGGAAGTGGTGAGTTTTAAGTCTAAAACATTAATTTGAGTTACCAGCTAAATTTCTTGCAATTTAAAATTAAAAAAGGACAATATTTAAAAATATCCTTTTCTTTAATGATTAATTGCTTTTGCTTTTCTTATGTTGGTTTCAGATTGCAAATGTGGTTCACAGACGCAAAGTGGCAGCTGCGGTTGTGGTAGTGGTTGCAAATGTGGCCAATAATTATTGGAATAATAATTGGATTATAATCAATTTTTCGGCTGAGTTGCGACATTAGCTTTGAACGTCTTTCAACAATTTGCATTATAATTCTTTCAATAAACAAATAAACGGAAATATTATGCAAACGAAATAAAACTTCTTTCTTTGTGTTAAGTTATATACATATAAGTTTTATGGAGGAATGACTTTGACAGTTTGTGCATAGGCGACCCCAGGCGAGAATGGGGTTTGACGTCCCCCTAAAATTTTTGAAAGGCACATTGCAAAGCGAAACTAAAAACTTTTAGCAATGCACAATGGTCGGTAATCTAAAAAATTGTCAAAGGTTTAAAATCGAAATTTAGATTTTTAAATTTTATACATCACTAGCTGTACCTGGCCACGCTTTGCTGTGGCATATTCCTGTTACCAACGCGTAGGGGCCTGTAAATCTTCCGTAAGATCTTTCTCTCGAATACTCCAAGAGCCGCCTCATCGGATGTTGTCATTGTACATGCTTCTGCGTCATATACCAGCACGAGCATGATGAGTGACTTATAGAGTGTTGTTTTTGTACGTCGAGACAGAACTTTATTTCCGAATTGCCTACTCAGTCCAAAGTAGCACTTGTTCGCTACAGTAATTCGGCATTGGATTTCGATGCCGAATTTATTATCGGTGTTATGCTGGTTCCTAACTAAACGAAATTGTCCACTTTCTCGAAATTACAACTGGCAATAGTGACGTGGGTGCCAAGGCGCGAATGCTCTAACTGTTTGTTTGATGACAGGAGATATTTCGTCTTCTCCTCATTGATCAACAAACCCAATCGCTTTGCTTCGTTATCCAACTTGGAAAAGGCGGGAGATGTTAGGGAATGGTGACAACAATTTTAAGAGTTCATTAAAAATTTTTTAAATAGCTTTTATGGGATATTTCATGGGATATTTTCATTGCGAAATTTGTAAACCAACTCTTTGTTGATAATATGATCACTTCGTTTGATAACATTTTGTAAATTCTTTCTTCATTTAAACTGTTCGGCTTTTGGATAAGTGAAAATATAAAAAATCTCTAGTGAAGCTTTCCCTAACACTTTTCGTTTGGAACCAATTATGTAATATTTCATTTAGTTCCAATATTTGCAGTCTTTACTTTTAGATAGGCCATAATCCTATGGGAAATGTTTCTAAATCAAGATTTCTCAAATGCCTTTAGTTTGGACCCATATTGTAACATTTCATTTCTCTTACAAATTTAATTAAGTTAAATTTTCAAACAGGTGGCAACCCTCCTCAAACATATTTTCGACTGTAGGTCTTTTAAAAATTCTTTAGTTTGATACCCACATGTCATTATTTTTATCAAATTAATTGTACCCAAAAATATTTCCAGTAGTTATCTTTCTTAAACTTCTTTAACTTAATACCTGTATTGTAATATATCATTTAGTTTATAAATTAAATTGTGCTAAATATTTTAACAGGTGGCAACCCTGCTTTGAAATATTTCCGATTTGAAGCCTTCCTAAAGCTCTTTAGTTTGACACCCACATGGCAATATTTTATTTATTTTATGAATTTGACTGAGATAAAATTTTCAAATAGGTGGCAACCCTCCACAAAAATATTTCCCACAATCATCTTTCTTAAACCTCTTTAATTGGATACCCATATTGTAATAATTTATTTATTTTATCAATACAATTGGGTATAAAATGTCGACCCTCAAAATTTTTGTGATATCAATGATCCTGTATTATACCGAACAATACAAAAAAAAAAAATATTCAAATCGGTTCAGCCGTTCTCGAGTTTTGACGACCGTGACATACGAACACAACATTTTTATATATAAAGAAAGAAAGATAATAGATTATTGGTAAAGTACGCTTTGGCGAAGTCTCTTCATATGCCATAGTAGTCTCAAGACTAGTCTCATTTTCAGTGACCTCAGGAAAGCGAACATAAGGGGCCTTATGAAGGTTCAAAAACGTTTGCAAATATGTTGCCTCCATATCGGATCCGCCGTGTTAAATTTTGAAAGCGGTGATGTAAAATCATAATCTGCAACTTTGGAAGCTTCTAAATATTGAGTTCAGGGGTACGACTTAGGGGGAGTAATCTCGCCGCTTCTGTGGAACATGGCAGTAGACAGCCTCCAAAATAATACACTGACTATACACAGCGATAGTTAGGCCAATTCTCTATTACGGAACTTAGTGGTATGGTTTCATGCAAAAGGGCCATTGAAATTTTTTGTCCCCTGAGTTACCATAAAGGAAAGAGAAAACCACTCTGGTTGTCGGAAGATCTCTCCGACCTTCAGGCCTGTTCAACAAGGCCAGGAGGAGCAAATAATCTTCCGACTGGGCACTATATAAGGTTGAACTTGGGATTTCTAAGTCCGAGATTAGAAAAGCAAAGCGAACTTCGTGGAGACTCTTCTGTGAAAGCGTGAAGCGTAAAGGGTGTTCGAAGTTTAGGCGAGTTCTCCCTGAGAATCCCGCTCCCCTGGGATACATCAAGGACGAGAACGGTAATTGGGTGAAGAGCAGCGAAGATTCTCTTCGAATTGCTCCACGATGCTCACTTCCCGAACAATCCGAATCAGGGAAGGAACCGTTTAGAGGCTACGTGCCCCGAAACGAACGTTTCGGAAATTCTGACCGAGGATCTCCTTCTTTGGGCCATCAGCTATTTCAAGCCCTCTTAGACACCAAGCCCAGACGGCATAATACCAACCCCACTGCAGAAATCTGCGGAGGTGTCGTTCCGCTGGTTGATGCCTATCTTTGCGAGTTGCTTGGCTAGGGGTCACATTCCGGGGCCTTGGAGGGTTGGCAGGGTTGTATTCATTCCTGAAGCGAGTAAGGCCTCTCATGTATCACCCAGGGACTTCAGGCCGAGAGACTCGTCTCTTTTAAAGACGCTGGAGAGGCTGATCGACCTGCACTTAAGAAGTGGGATCCTCAGGAAGCAGTCTGTCGAAACGGCCCTACACATGGTCGTGGATAGTATCCTTTTTGCAGAAGGAAATCTTGGTATATGTAGCGATACCCCGCAATGGGGAGTTCTTACACAGCTGCTTTGGGTCGTTGTCGTCAACGACCTGTTGGTGGACCTGGCTGTTGGGTGGTTGCCATTGCTGACAATGTAGCTTTGATAACAAAAGGAAAGTTTACGGAAACACTGGGAGTACTCCTCTGGTGGAACGCATGGGACAAGGCCTTCATCGCGAAGCAGCTGGAAAGGGTACAAAGAGTTGCCTTAATTGGTATCAGCGAGTTGACAACACAAGGAACCCTTGAAGAACTATTTCCGGACAGAGAAGGTCGGGGAATTCCCCTGCCCTCGACCGTCTTCTTATGGACAGATGGGCGTTTAATTAGCTCAGCGGGCGCTGGGCGAAGGCCTTGGAATGCAAGGTGGCAAAATCCTTCTGGCCACGCATAGACCGGAGGCGGTCTGGGGAGCTCTTGCGACCAAGCAAGTTACATCTTTCACTACTGGTGGGAGTACTAACTGGTCATTGCGCGATAAGTAAGCATGCCGGAAGGCTAAATATCATCGATGACCCTTACTGCACCAGCTGCATGAAGGATGATGAGGTGGAAGCATCTCAACACCTGCTGCTCTGGTGCCCTGCCTTTGCTAGCCTAAGGTGTAAGCAACTTGGGTCACACTCTTTACACTCCCGATGAGCTTTAGGGAAAGAACATAAGTCGCTTGAAGAGCTTCGTTGCAAGCATGGAGCGTTTTTCTTACAGGAAGCTGTAGGTTTCGTCTTTTCCTACCTCTACGTCCTTTCCCTCTCCCCTCTTAGGGCATCACAACAGACAGCACAGTCGTGTCTAAATAGGCCTTCATCTACGGAGGCAGACCGATAACCTAACCTTACCTAGTGGTATGGTGAAATACTCTTGCGAATGCACAGTGTGCCAGAAGACTGAGAAAGTCTCCAAAAACCAATGTTATATAAAACCTATTATGACAAATTTATTATAACAAATTAAGAATTCATTAAATATGAAAAAGCGTTGGTAAGACTTAATTATGAAAAAAATGTGCCACAGATATCTACATTAATAATAATCGGCGAATATTTTACGCTTTTTGTAATTAAAAGAAAACGCATGTGTGTCTATGAACATGTACGATACACGGCGTATGAGTAACCTTCATACAAATAAATAAGCCTAGGAATCTCATGCAAATGCATGTTTATATTTAACGTCTTCAAATTGAAATTATTGCTATGTTTACGAATTATGAAATTTCCTTAAAAATGTCATTCAATCCTAAGTGCATATTCTTGCATATTTTACAAAAATCGCTTTTATTTATTACGCATATTTTAGTATATTTTAAAATAAATGCATGTTATTTTGCATATTTTTGCTTTGTTTTATTAAAACCATTTAAATTTAGAGCGAAATTTCTTGACAAAAATATTAAAATAATTTTTCCCAAAATTTCATCTGAACCACTGTATTAAACTGTCAATGCTTCTATTTATACAAGATTGTAACGATGATGAAGATTGCACAGGAATTAATGAAACGTTTTAATTGTTAGGCTGCCTAGAGCTTTAAAATGAAGATGTTATTTGGTTTTGTCACTTTTGGCAAAAATAATCTAATTGCACAAGGTATTATAATTTTGTTCACATGAACGAAACGAGGTAGATATAGGCAAATGTATACATAAGTAAATTATTAGAATGATAACCGCAAATGTGTATATCGGTAACCAATTCATCAAATTCAACCAAAATTGGTGCACCTTATAACCTTGGTAAGGAAAAGAAATTTATTGAAAATGATCCAAATCGGACTAAAATAACACCCCCTTCCCGTATAACTGTAAATTTCAAAAAGACGAAAACTCCGATATTTCAAAAACTGAGGACATTAATTTACTTCACATTAATACTTACAACATTCTCTTAACAATAAATAACACTAATATAGACTTAACATATAATATGAATATAACATCAAAACTAGGGATGTGCCGGGTATCCGGTAGATATCCGGAATCCGGCCTATCCGGCCGTTTTTTGGTTATCCGGTTATCTGGCCGGATACTGGCTAATATCCGGCCGGATTCCGGATATTGATTATAGAAGATTCAATTTAGAAATTTAACCCAGATTTTGTATTTTTGTAATCCAATTTAATAGTATCTAATTAGTAATCAAAGTTAACAATTTGTATATTTTTCATTATGAAAAGAAGCATTTCCGCATTATCGGGCAACAACCTATTTCTATTTTCAACATAAATGTTACCCGATGCACTAAATACTCGTTCCGAGTTCACTGCGGAAGGTGANACGAAAAAGGTTAAT